GTAAAATCTTGCAAGCAGGGAGAGCACGATCCCCTCTAAAATTTCAGAGATAAGAATTTAGTAGCTCTCGTGTAATTACTAATACAATTTCAAAGTAGCCGTACGAGTACAAATTTCGTTACTTTTTACGTGGAATTTCGAATATGCGATAATAAATGAAAATTAAAATCAATATTCTATTATTTCCACTGATACGATTTGTCCCTCCCTCCTTCGTTTTATCATGCGCGATTTTATCGCGGAACGTGTAACGTTCCTCTGAGAAAATCAGGGCAACAGCAAGAAAGAAAGATGACGATGACAGATAAGGAGTCAGATTGACTGGCGGAAAGCTTCCATTTGGATAATAAGATTGGCCGATATCGATACTCTAGAGACCTTTTCATGTCGGGAACCCCACGGTAATTTTCGTGGAAAAGCAGAATTTTCGGCGCGACAGGAGACAATCGAATTTCCTTTTCCTTCGTTCGAAAAAAACTTCTTATACGTTCATTAGGATACATGTATATGTACATATAATGACAATATTTCCCTGGGTTTTACACAGACATTTGTTGCCCGATTAATATCGTTCGGCAACGATGCTCGTCAATGTAATTATCTTTATTTATCCGAAGTTCGATATAGTTTGAATAATTTTCTCGATCGTCTTTGTTAAGTACCATCACGCATTAACAATTGGACAATACAGTTAGTACACTTAACTTTTCGTCCCTTATCCCGTTCCTGTTTCCTTTCGGACACTCTCAGAATACTGACCCTGTATTCGTAGTCGTCCGCGGCGGTTCCTCGACCCGCCATATACTCTTGATACTGGGAGATCACGCACAACACGGAATATATCTGAAGTAAAGGATACGTAGAATAAATAGCCGAGCGCCTTTTCACCCGATAATGGTAACATATTCTTTTTCTACCTACGTTTCGTAATTGAGAAAAGGAAAAATCAACCGTGAGAATCGTGGAACGTAAGATAAAAACGCACGGTGATAGAACTGAAGCGAAATGTTTTTTTAACGAGAAAGAAAAATTATGAAGTACCAAAGGTGGACTGAAAGGTTCGCCAGAGTAACTACTCTTTTTTTCGTTTTTTGCGCAATTCTTAAGACAATTCGACAAAAGTAAATGGATTATTCTGAAGATACCAAGTTACGTTATGTTCGAAATTTTTGCGAGCGACTATAGTCATCGGTAGGATAGAGTTGGAACGTTCAACGTTGGCTGAATACAATCATTTTTAACCCTTTCGTTGCTGTTGGTGCCTACAGGCGCTTTGAAAATTTGCTCACACTGTACAGTTCGCGCCTTTTTCGTGCACTTCTAGCCTAATTTAATCCTTAATTTCATCTTACGAGTATTTCTGCAGTGAAAATGAAAGCATCTACCGTCTGTCACGTGCATTACGTACTATTAATCCTTTGAGTGCTGAATACTCCCTGCCGAAGCTCTCCCTATGGACTATGTATTGCGATCGCTGCGGACCAAATATTTTTTTGCTAGTGTGAACTGTAATTACTTTGCACCAAATTAAATAACACACGTATTCTTCATAGGTAGCTAAGGAACACGCATGTATTCATCTCGTGTCAAGATAAGTGTAACTACACTACGCGGGAGATCGAAAAAATTGACAAACGCATATAGGGTAGTTTCGGGAGAGATGGAGCAGGCAAGCATTTCCTACATTATCCGCCAGATATGGAACAAAAAACACCGAGAGTAAAACAAATGTAAGATAAAAGAATACTGACGCGTTCCACATATGGCGGATAATGTAGGAAATACTTGCCTGGTCCGTCTCTCCCGGAATTACCCTATGTATCTGCCCATAGTCCAGAAAAATAGCTTTCGCATGGACACATATACGTGTCCATAGCACTCAAAGGATTAAAATAATATAAAATCTGTAAAATAAAATGAAATAATGTGAGATCTATATAAAATCAGTAAAATAAAATAAAATAGCGTAAAATCTGTCGTAGCGAAAGGGTTAGCAAGGAAAGGGGTTAACAACTGGCGAAGCAGAGGTATCTTCAGTGACGGAGTAGAGATGGACAAAATAGGAAAACGAGCAAGTGATCGAATCAGTTAGACGTAAGCAGCTAGTCTTTCGTACTTATTGTTAGACCGCGATCTTTTCAATCCACTCTCGTAATTGATCTTCTACCGATTGAAATATCCACTCACGTTCAGACAGAGAAGGAAGAAGTTCAACGTGTACAGCATCACTTTCGTCGGGTCAAAAGTGGACTGAAACAGAACCATGGATAAAATTAAATTCCTCGATCGTCCACCGGATATAGCATGAATCTCGTCCAACTGAACACGTTCTCTGCCGCGCGTGGATCTCATGCGGCCCACTCTGGATCTTCCGTTCAGGCAGTCTCATATTCTCGTCTTTTCCATTCTTTCGTTTCAATTATGCAGCTACGACGATAATTTGTTGAAACAACAATTTTTTGAATTGTTCTCTGGTGTATCTTAAATGTTACACATTTTCCCCGATAACAACGATGTTTGCAGTCTTATAAATTTTATTAAGCATATGTTATAAGGAAAACTGTTAATCTTGACAACGTGGAGCGCATAGGGACGTGTTAAACGAGCCATTTCAGAAGCCAAAACGATTCTCATTAAAATTCTCACGATTCGAGGCAAAAGGTTCTCACGTTTGATTTTTCGATATTCTTCCAAATTTTAGTATCAAAGCATACGCTTGGTGCTTGATTTTTCACAAATAACAAAAATTTCATTCGACGCAGTTAATCACTTTGGCTTCGAATACAAACAATTCAACTTCCTTCTCGTGTTTCATCTCATCGACACTCTCCGTAAGCACTTTGTTTATCCAGATTTCGTTGGTTGATCGAGGAAATCGTCACGATTTCACGGCGAATCGATTACAGGGAAGCGATAAAGTCTGACGTTCGCTATTATTCGTAGGCAAGTATGTACAAGTCACCGTGGATCGGTTGTAAAACGCTATTCGATTTCCTGCAACATTTAACACGAAAGCTTCTCATCCCGAGAAAATCTACATTTTGCTGCGCCGTTATTTGCATTCTACCGCGTCCGTCCTCTCTTTCCTTTTCCCCGGGATTCTCGTCGAAAAAAAAGGTACGATTTTAAAATTCCAACATCGCGTACGAAAACACGAAAAGTTCCTCTGATTTCTCCCTGCATCCGGAATAATAACATTGTAACGCCTGTGATGTTGATCAAGAGGGAACTTCAGTTTTGATCAGTTTCGTTTATCGAGACAGTCGAGCTGCAGCAATTCGGCCCACTTCGCTGGAAACGACGAAATTTCATCGCGAACTTCGCAAACTGGGCGAATTCGCTCGCGAAACGGAATCGAAAACAGCCCCGTTGATTCTTGGAAATTTTATTCGGGGGTGGAGAGAACGAGTGGAAAAGCTGCAAACGTGCAAGGGGAATGTAGAAAGAAAAAAAGAGACACTGTTTGCAACTGTTTTGGATAAAGCTGGCGTTACTTTCAGCATTGAATATTCGCGTCATCGATACCGTCATTCATTCGGCATTAATTCACGCAACTTTGTGAGTGCTTTAAACGTGTAGCATTGTGTGATTACACGTTGCGTCCTTTGTAATTACTCTGGCAACTTTTGTTGTCAGAGAAGCAGAGATAACGCTTCGATAATAATTCTAGCAAAAAGAATAATAAAAAAATTGCTTTTTCCTGTAATTTGTAATAAAATACTCCATCATTCTGTACATTTGTATTCTACCAAAAGTAATAGAAAGTTCGTAGTAGCAATAAGTTCGCTTTTTACATGGATATGTGGCCATTTATTTATTTATAACTTCAGTAAAAATTAGGATATCGAGAAAAATTTAATTCAGGTGATATAGAATGCATTAAAGAATATGTGTGCAAAATTTCGTCAAAATCGGTTGAGTTTTACTCAAGTTACAGAGTGCCCGTTTCAGAAAAGGTGTTTAAAATTTTTGGCGCGAAAGCGTAAGGCTGCGCGTCACTTTTTCCCAACAAATTAGAATAGCTTCCAATTGGAATATCGATTTCGGCTAAATTGTATCTTCCTCGGAAGACAATCGTATCAATTCACGAAAATAAAAAAAAATCAATTTTTTCAATTGGCCAAAGTAGTTCGACCCCTTAAATAAACTTCAGTAAACAGACGTTATTTTAAATTCGTGCGTCACGAGTACAGTTCCAATCTAGTTGTCAATTCAAAGGACAACGTTGTTCGAATAATTACAAGTAATATCGACGTTACGTTTGCACCAGTGAGCACACAGTATTAGGCAAGTGACACGCGCGTTTACGACGAAAAAGGCGCGCGCGTTTCGCCTCGGCGGCAACGGTCGTTTGATGTCGTCGTATTTAAAAAAAAAAAAAATGTAAAAGGGAAAGGAGAGGAGGGGTGGAAAAAAGCTTCGTTCCCCTAGTTTATGTTTTACGAGGAAAAAGCCGGACGCGCGAAACAGTAAGGACGTTAATGAAGATTGCGCGTACCGTTGCGCTGTTATTCCCGAAATGAACTTCCGCATCTCGCCTCGGAAATACTTGGCATGCGACTTGCGTCAACCACGTTTCCTACTGTGCCCTATAGTTTGCATGTTTACACCCTTTTATCCCCGCCAACGCTGCGCATATTTACTCGTTTCCGGCCTCTCAGCCACTGCGTTTGTATCTTTTAAGATGTATTTTACTCCGCTACTTTGCCCTACTTACGTCTGCCCCCTGTAAAACGAGGGTAATGTAAACATGGCGGCGGAGAACGACCTCCGAGAAGTTTTCGTTTTATCACAATCCGCTGACTTTTCGGGATTTGCAATACTTTTTAAGTCGTTCTTACGACGATTTTTTTTCGAGATTTCTCAGTGTTCAATGATACATCCTCGAGTTAGACTATAGTCTGAGCCAAATATATCGGCCGGTCAAGGTTCTCCTCCGGTTCCACTATTACCTTTCGACTGTTAACAGTCGTCCTACAGAGTCTTTTCGTTCCGCTTTTAAACTACGCGTCTACATTAGAGATTTTTTTTGAAAATTTGTCAACTTTTGCACTTCACAAATGTTAATCCGAAAACATTATAGTAAATAGTAACATAGGCGGATAAGTTGGTAAATTTGCGCTGAGCCAATAGGCACAACTTCTACCAAGGCAAAAATAATATAAAAAAGAAACCTAGTGTTAATACTAGACCAGGTCAAAATGACCCATTAGCAACTTTGCCAAAAACAACGAATGTTCGATACACAGCAAGTATCATTATTTGTAACATATCGACTTTGTTTTCTGCATGTATGCTTATATTTGTACCGATCTAATCTAATTTTTCAGTCACGCTTCAGTTACACAAAAATTCACCATTGGAAAGTCGCTGATGGGTCATTTTGACCCGGTTGGTAGTTCCAGTGTTAAACTACGCTTGTCGTGACCTCGTAAAACACAAGAAGGAGAGAGTATATACCGAAGAGACAGCAAGAAAAGAAGACGAAGAGAGTGTATTACCGTCTGAAAGTAAGACAAAGATCGTGTTGCAAAAGCAGACACACAACGTGTACAAGATTCGCTCGGTCGGTTCGAAAGAACGAGGGAGGGGGAACGACCGTGGCCGGCCAATATATCCAGCCGCGACTATAGCTTCTTTGTCGGTCGATTTAATCAGAGAGGCGTTCACATTCGGCCGGTGTTAATTCGCTCGATTTGAATAGGTAGACGATCGCGTGCCAGGGCATACACCGAACGACATAATACAATTTACGAGAGGATTGATTCCTGATGCTCATAGGTGGCTGCTGGAATCTCAATTAAGCAATGGGGTAAGATATTGGCTAACCCAATTACGACACCGCAGCGACTCTCGACTTAGTAGCAACCTCTTGGCCTTCTCACGTAACCATTCAAATTTCGCTCGTGCGTATCATTTTGCATGCCGAAGCAAAACTATATTTACACATATTTTTTAACAGTAAAATGTTCGACGAAAAATACGAAGAAAATAAGCGTCTAATTAATTACTTCGTAACGAAGATGTCTATCGAATTACCTGTCGATTTAAAGCTATATAGGTTAGGTTAGGTTACCATTTTAATTGCGGCTCGAGAGTAGAACTGAAAGTACTGAACTTGTAAAGCGTCGCTTCTATTCGGGGAAAATTTCCAAACCTACACGATCGAATCGGTCGAACTGGTCGAGGAATTAATTGCGCGGTCCAAGTGTTTCAAAATTTCTGCTGTACATTGAAACAGGAGCGTTTTGAACCAGGTATATACGTATTCTAAAGAACAGTCTTGTTTGTTCGATCGATTCATTTCGAAAGGGGTAATTTTGCGAGGACGTTTTGTCGAGTTGCAAACGTGAAACTCGGATATGTGAACAGAGATTAAGCGGATATCGAAGAACGCGTGAAAGAAACGGTTCGTTAAAGATTTCGATCTATTGAACTGGTAAAAAGTTAACGAGAGAATTGGCTTTGAACGAAAAAAGAGTTAGGTTTTTTTGAAGATGGATACAGAATAGATTGCCTCTTTAGAAATGTTTCGAGGTAAGCGATACAGGCACACGTAAATACAACACACGCTCTTTATAGACGTGAAAATATCGTGGATAAGTAGGATAGATTGCCTTTTTAACGACGTCAAAACGGTTTGCATTCATGAATTTGAAATTAAGTTTCCTAGAAATACGTTAACGTATTGTGAACTCGCGGAATATTATCCACGAACGTCGAAACATGTTCTGTTCGGTCGTGAGTAATGTGTTTTGTCGAATTTGCCTTAATGTTTTCTACAATGTAATGAAAAAAGAAACAAGATGATTTTTGGATCCATTTAAAACAGATTAATTTTTATTACTTTATGGCTGAAAAATCATGTTAAAGCGGACACCCTGTATATTAGAATAAATACACTTTGTTGAATTTTTGAAATGATTGACAGGATATCAAACGTTCTAGTCGACTGATTGATTTCAAACTTTGCGTGCACCTTCAGTAGGTATGCTGTTATCGTAAAAACTAGAATCATCAAAGAATTAACTTTTTCGTTGATTTTTTTAGCCGAGAAAACACGAAAAAATCGAAAAAATTGATATTCCATCTTCAAAGTGCTACAATTTTTTAAATTTTCGATATTTCTTTTTCATTCTAGGTCAGACTATAGTAACACTCATACCGATAAACAATCTTTTTAGTTTCTTCGTTTGAGATAAGTAGAATGGCCGGAATAATGAAATCTAGTAGGACACTTTTCTTCTATCACCAATCTTGATAATCAATTTTTTTCGATTATCAATTTTGACTATTTTCACTTAAAAAAAATGGTGAATATTCTTAAAACATAAATAAACATCTGTGCAAAACGCTGATACTAAAAGTCTTACGGTTTCTTTACAAAAAAATCTCAAAGAAAACTATAAAAAACGACACTTTAGCCTTACAGAAAAAGCGACATTACTCACGGCTCACCCAATACTACGCCTCGATACGACTCACTTAACCTGAATATGTCATAACAACTGTTAACGCGAAGCAAGCCAGACACGTCTGTATAAAGAAGAATTTTAAAAGCTTCCGAATGTACGAATACAAAGAACGTGTGTCGGTTTACCTATACACATGTTAAACCATTACGAATAAGCGGACAGTAGTGAGTAGGTCGACTGTTGAATGGCATGAAAACGTAGTGTACGCGCGAGTGCACAATAAGTCGGTGCTTCAAAGACGTGAACGATCGCGGAAGAAAGAATCACGCGGATCAACGACAGTTCAACCCTTTCAGTCCACCCGTGAGGACGTTGGAAAAACGCGGCAGCTGCGGGAAACGCGTTCGTGAAACGACGAAAGGGAACTGTGTTCGAGAGTGGGTTTGGATTGCGGTCCGGTAAACGGCTCCTGTTCTCTTTTATATCGTCCGACGAGTACCTACCTCGAAAAAGAGTAGAAAAAAAAAGAAAAGAAGAGTTCTCCATTGAAAAGGGGTAATTGCGCGACGATATTCCGTGTAATTCTCGGTTTTGGTATTAAACGCTCTCAGAGTGACCGGTGAAACTCTCGAACGTTGTACAGAAGTTGTAAGCCGCGAAGGGGAATATACACAGTGTTGAAAATAGGCAAAAGTTTCGTTAGATCGAGCGATAAACTTCGTGGCTCGAGTGTGAAAAGGAAGAAAGTTCCTTCGAGGACGTTTTTGAACCGTGATTCTTCTAGATCGTCTTTTTCGAATTTCGCTGATTTTCCCGGGAATGTTCGCGTTTGTTGAGAAACGTTTACGCAAGAGAGGCGACGAGGTTGATTTTGATACGAAATTTCTCTGGGAAATTTGATCCTGGGTAAAAAGTATCTTCCCGCGTATTCAGCGCTTTGAATGTTTGAAGAAGTTCTCGTTAACCCGGGGTACGAAATTTAACGGCCTGGACGTGAAAAACGTTGGAAATGTAGGTCAGGGAAGAATGTATAATCGAAAAAATCTGACGACGATTATCCTTGAAATCGAATTTTATTTCACCTCTCTGATAGTCGTTCCGCGCCGCGGGAAACTCTTTCGAGACTCGCGTTTCACGCCGCCAAGGAGACGCAGCTTTCTTCTGGCTAGAGGTTCCCAGGGGTTCCAGCCACCTCGCAATTATCGCGGGCATATCCGTTTTCCACGCGAAAGGGAGGAATCACACGGTTTGTTCTCACGAAAATCGCGAAGGAGACGTGGAAATATGGCACAGAGAGGGTTGTAAAAATAGAAATGGAACTTCGTGACTGTTTCCACGTCTGGATCTGTTTGTGCTCCTTCGGCCAATTCACTTTCGTGTTGTATAGAAAATTAATAAAAATCAGCCACGTCTTTCCTGCATGAAAAGATAACAATTTATTCTCACGAGTATTGGGAAGGAGGCGAAAAAATACGGCAGACGGAAGGTCTGGAAAAAGGTAGAGGAGGAACTTCGTGACTATTCTCACGTCTGGATCTGTTTGTTCCTTCGGCCAATTCACTTTGACGTAGTATAAGAATTTAATAAAAATGAGTTACACTTTTCTTACACGCGAAAAAGGTCTGTTCTCATAAAAATCGGAAAGAAGACGAAAAAACGTGGCAGACAGGATGTATGAAAAGGGTAGAGGAGGAATTTCCTAACTATTTTCACCTATGGATCTATTTCAATAAGTTACATTTTTCTTATATAAAACACAATTTATTTTCACAAAAATTGGGAAGAAGACAAAAAAATATGGCACACAAAAGGCATAAAAAAAAGTATAATACATAGGAGAAATCTCGTGTCTATTATCACGTTTGGATCAGTTCAAATAAATCACATATTCCTTACATAAAAAAAAAAAACAATTTATTCTCACAAAAATTGGGAAGACAAAAAAATATGGCAAGCAAACTGTATAAAAAAAAGTACACTGGAGAGATCTCGTAACTACTATCACGTCTGGATCTGTTCAAATAAGGTATCACATCTTTCTTACATAAAAAAAAAAAAACATTGCTGACATTTTACAATAAATAAAGAAGGCAGTACTCACGACAGCGACGAACAGGTACAACGAGTGCGCCACGTCAACGAAGCAGATTGTGATGACGATGATGATCCAGGGCACGAGGAAGACACGTTGATCCTGCAAGACATCGGTCATAAGTGAGCAGAGACAAATGGTGTAGCAGTGTTCTTTCTTCGAGAGGGTCGTTTAACGGTCCCTTCTTATCTTTAATATTCTTTCTTTCTTTTCTTTTTCGCCTCTCAACCTCCTCCTCTTTGTTCCGTGTCCTTTGGAAACATTCGATTCGACTCGTTGCACACCGCCAAGGTAAAACGGGAAACACTCTCTCCCGAGGTGAAGTCTACTCGAAGGGTTGAGAGTTCGGACGAGCTCTCGACGTGGAAAGGGTTAAAAGTTTCCCTCTCCGGGAGGAGGCAAAAAGACAATCGTCTTTTCCTGGAATCACGAGTTGTTACGTCTCGGATTCTAAATAAAGTAATACGATTGCCCAGGTGGGAGTAATAATTCACTGGCTGTTACGCGATGGATTTTAATTATATAGCAAATCCTTTGGATCGTTTCTCTTATAGTTTCACAGGCGAAGATGTTGAAATGAAATTTTTCAAGTAGGTAAAAACGTCTGCGTGTATCGCTTCGAAGCATTCTCAGGCATAGTTGCTTCTCATAATTTTGCACCTTTGTTATCGACACGAGGGTTCACCTTTGTTTAAGAAATTTAATTAACTCTTTCGACTGAAAGTGCATTCTGAGCTTTGACGGTCTATTGTATAATTCGCGGGGAAAAAATTTGATATTTTGCGAGGAATAAAGGAATTCTTTTTTTTTTTTGTAAGAGTATGTTGGTGAAAATTAGACGAAATAATTATGAGAGGGAATGGATCGTTTCTATGGTGACACCGTGGAGCCGTTTGCATGGTTCTTTTTACAAACTCTCGTAAAAATGCGACACGTGAGGCTACACGGTGCTTATGTAAGCCCGTAAAGAAACGATTTCCTCGTCTTCGACTGCGTTCGCGTTGCCTGGCTGCCTTGAAATGGGATTCGAATGGAGTGAACCTCTCGCCTGTGCAGACATATTTAAACGTACGAATATCCTGCGTGAAAAAAGAAATAATACCTACTTACAAATTTTAAATACGTTGTGAAATATTTAACTTCAACTTCGTAATTGAACGATATTACTTCTTTCGTAGGAAAAGAGCGCAATTATTGATCTTAACCCTTTTGCTACGGCGAAACTGGCCACTAGACGCCTGAAAGTGTATCATTCCGTCTCTGACCTTTCGAGTTCGCTTTTATGTCCCGAAGAGTTGCTTTGATAATGTTTCTTTTTTGGAGAGAAAGAGTTTTTGCTTAAAACCTTATAATTTTACTTAAAAAATTAAATAATTTCTTCATCCCGTAAGTTCGCTTCGGGAAAGTTTGCTTCGTTTTGTTCGCTAAAAAAATGCAAGCGCCATTTCGTTCCACATCTTTTTCTTATTTTTTGGGGGGGAAGACTGAAGAAAATGAATTTCCTTTAATCGTCAATTAAAATATCTTTTGCTTTCGGCACGAACTTATGGGGTGACCTAATAAATCTACCCTTAACCCTATCGGTATATGAACAGTGTTTCACGGCGAGCGATTAAGGGTTAAAAACGTTTTAAAGGCCAAAAAAGTTCTTCGTCAGGCTTTAATTTAACGAAATTTAAGAGTCGTGATGCTTCTTGCACGGTGTTTACGCATTGGAACGAGGGAATGATTGATCGTCCGAAGTGAAGCTATAAACAGTAGAAAAATTGGGGCGAATATGGTGGCTACGTGAACGTATCAAAGATCCTGGCAACGGTTCGTGTTAAAAATGACGGACGCTGGATGACAAATAGCCCGGCGGAAGAGGGTGAAACGGAGATGAGACGCTGAATATGGAGATCTTTGGGAAACGTTGCCATGGTTATTCACGGGCAGGTTACTATCGCGGAATAAACGCGGCAGTTTTGCCGCGGAGTGATTAATGGACGATGAGATCGATAAGAAGAAGGAACTGCAGAGCGGGAACACGGTGAATTTACTGTCCGGAATCGCGAGTTCGAATCTGTCTGGAATCTTGTTCGTAGACGATAAGAGGCGAAACCCGGTTAACGCCTCAGTTACGACCAAGTAATTAGATAATTAATCATAGCGGCGATATAAGAACTGTATTGGAAGGGCTGGTTAATCGATTCGCTCGGTAATTCGTTTGTGAAAGGAAAGAGGAATCATTTTTTTCGGAGAATTTATCGGTGCATCTGCTTCAGCTTAGAACTGTTACAATAACGACGTCTTTTTAACCTCTTGCCTTGTGACTTTTTTATTTTTTATTATTTTTTTTATTATAAGGGAATTTCGACTTTTTTTAAACTCTGCAAGTTTGTAGACCTCGATAGAAGTATCAAGCAATTTTTATTTTTGCTACGTTTTGGTTTCTTCAGGGTGAAAACACCCCTTTACTCTACGGCTAAAGTGTGTTTTCATATTTTTCTGTACACCTTGGAAACCAGAATGAAAATTTAAACAGGGAGATCAAATTTTTGAAAAGCAAAACATTGTTAACAATTTTATCGAGCATGTAAAGCGATTAAATTTCCATTCTACGTCACTCGTCCAATTCTGAATTCCCATTCGGTCAACATTACCAAAAACTGTTATTTTACAAAACAAATTAAACTTGCAATTAGTACAAAAAGATATTGATCTCATGTTTTCTTCATCCATTTCCCCGAACAATCTCTACCACCCAATATTTCCCCCACAAGCATGAACAAATCCAAAGCCACTACGTGTCAATTGACCACGAGAAAGAGCGACCAATACCTCCTTTGGAACCGACAAGCCTCGTGTTTCACTCGTGTGCACTCGCAGCCGATCACGTTGTACCTGTGTTTTACGTAAGAGAGCTGTTCGCAACGTGAGTTATGGCCACGTCGATTTCACGGGAGAAGCGTCGATAAATCAGCCGGTACGACGAAAATTGATATTCCTGTCCGGATTTATGGGCGTTCTTTCGTCAAAGACGCGACTCACGGCTTTCCCCTTGATGGATGCACCGGGCTCCGTCAAGTGGAGCAACGCCGTGATTAACTCGCTGGGGCTTAATTGCGTTGACGTATCACGGAACCGGACAGAATCTTCATTGAAAACTTTGTACAGGTGAAAAAGGAGGGGTAGGGGATCATTTGATCGGCCATTCTGTAAATCTTCCCGCCTGTGTACTTACCAACCCCGCGAATTGATTTCTAACTTTGTTACGCAGAGCCTGGGTAAAGAAGTAACCGGAAGCCTTCGCAAACTACCCGCACAAGTATTGTATTTTTCTTTCTTTTACTTCGAATACACCCTTGGGGCCTGCACAGATTATTTACGACGATGGAAGATTTCTTTTTTTTTTTGAGACCTCGAGAGGATCATTTTCGATGGGGCTTGGTTTTGTGTATGAAAATATGTTTAAGAAGATTGGAGGAATACGGTAGTAACGAATAATAAGTATTTTAGGTTAGAATAAATGTAATTTGGAGGTTATGGCGATATGGTAGCAATGAATAATAAATATTTTAGGTTAGAATAAATATTTGGAGGTTATGATGATATGTTAGCAATGAATAATAAATGTTGGCACAGTAATTGAATTATTATTGTAAAAATTCTGATGCATAGAAAGTTTATTCAATTATTGAATATATTTCTACGATCGATTTTGGATTTGTAGGTTATAGCAATACGTTCGTAATAAAAAATAAATACTGTAGGTTATGGTGATATGTTAGCAATGGACAATAAATATTGGTATAGCAACTAAATTATGATGATAAAAATATTGACCGACAGAAAGTTTATTCAATTATTGAATACTTTACTATACTCAATTTGTGGATTTTTAGGTTATAGTAATATCTTACTAACGAACAATAAATATTTCTCTTTCTAAATATCGCTACTTTCTGCTCTTTCGATACAGAAACAATATATAGCAATGTTACCAAGAACACGTTAAGATTTAACGAGTATGTCGGGATGATGAAGGACAGTATCGGATATTGTTTCTGCAGCAAGCCATTAAACGATCGTTTACTGCAAAAAATTGATACGTGGAGGGCACTTATTGCCTGCGATATTAACATTCCTAGCCTCCTATAAATTCCCCAACTACTAGTTCTCCCGAGATAGTAGGCCTTTCCTTCGCAGTAAACGATCAATGGTGTGCCGTTAAGGGTGTTTTATCAAGGTATCCGTAAGGACATATATTTCAAGAGGAACGATTCAATTTTACATAGCGGGTTCTATTTAAGGAGACGGATAACGAAGATTTAACTCGATCGTAGAGAAATGCTGGAAAGAAACGTCGCGGTGGTTGACGTCAGTCACAAGGGGTGTCGTCTTATCGTGCTCATAAATTCTGCGTACCCTTGTTGACTAGATACGACGGCGGGCATTTCTCTTTTACCTCTATCCCATTCCTTCCTCTTCTCCTCCTTTTTTTTTCTCACAGATTTCAAGGGTTCGCGTAATAAATCGTTCGCTGTTACTATGTATTCTAATTACGTATCTTTATCTCTTCTATTCCTTCGCACGAACGCGATACATTCTTATTCCTCGTAGATAACAACGGGACTACACATTCTAATGAATATTCATTCAACCCCTAATACGTTTTTCACACTCGTTACTCTTGGAATTTACGCGCCCTGTTTTGTACTTACATGAGCCGGTTTGGGAAATACAGGAAACCGAGGAAATGGGAACGAAGCTCGGAGGGCAAGCGGTATTTCTGAAAACGATATTTTCTCCTCGATCCGACAAGCCAGTGTACTACGTTTCGACCTTTCGATTTGTCGTGATTTTTCCGTATCAGGAGACTCGTACTCTCGCGGTTCGACCAAGGAGGACGATGGTAAAAATTGCATCGTTCTGCCCCGAAGGGCGGATTTGTCCGTCATTTCGGATGAACTAACTGGAGGATCGATACGAAGCCGATAAGATATCCATTACTACGTTACATCCTACGCAGCGATTTTCTTTAGAAAATGTTCGAATGAAAATATTCTTTTTTTCAAAAATGTACATTTGCAGCAGGAGTAATTAGCGTATGTTAATTTTCGTGTTAAAATAGTAACATCAATATTACAGGTTTTCCAGCATGGAGCTAATTTTCCTTTCGAAAATACGACACATTTCATAGAACGCGAAGGGATAAAAGCGTTCGTGCCGCAGGTAATTTCAATTTAATTGAAAATTATTCAGATTCTCGTTTCTACGTGAGTTTCCCTTTTAAATTCCACCCCGCCTGATTCTGTCTCTCCCCCCCTCTCTCTCTCGCCTCTTTTATAATCAATTTTAAGAAAAACAATTTCCAACTAGCCGCGTTTCTCCATTTGTGCTGGAACTAAACCCGAAAGGGGATGGCCGAAGAATCCTCCTGTTTCGCCTCCGTTCCATTTCCGTTATCCCCTTCCGCTTACATCTTCGCGGTACCCTCGCTCGTTTCACGTTGGACACAGTAATCGAGGGATTGCTTTGCCATGGTTTCGAACCCGGTGAATTAATCCTATCCACGCTAACAACCTCCACACCGAGCGTAGGGACCACGAGAAGGAATATCGCGGTTTCGAACGTACAACGTTCCTCAGCATTCGTTATTAAGGTTGGTGCGCGTGCAAGATGTACATATATATGCGTGTTCCTGAGGGAGCATTAAGGCGGATGATATATCGGAGAAGCGTGAAACTAGGTATTTTATCGAGTAGGGTGCATGTTTGCAAGGGATGTGCACGAAACTTTGTCTGACTTCGTGGGTAGATGAAAGAATGAAACAATAAGCGGTTCATAGTTTATATTTATGAGGTGTTTAATGCTTGCACGGCGGTCCTTGGGTCTGTTCAGACGCGCGATGAAAGTAATTCAGATGTTCATTGTAATAAATGAAACACCCTATACAGCGACGAAGGCAATAGTATTCTACTGGGAGTGTCGATTGGGGACGATTGGAATTAGAAATCGTACGAAATGGTACGCACCGACTTCGACGAAGCACGATCCCCTATAGATATCAATGTATAGTCAAAGGAAGAAATACAGCGAGGTCGTAAGTTCGTTTAGGCGACAAAATTTGCGTGTTCCAGAGTATCGACAGAAACCAGAGAATATAAGGGCTGCACGAAGTATGCTTTAGCTTCGATTCAGTCCAAATTTGAAAATATAAAATGCTACATGCGATCTCGACACGTTAATTTCAGATCTCGCTATATTTCTTCCACCGACTATACGTCTGAAAGGTCGGCGCCACGAGGCTTATTCTACTGCCACTTCTGGTGTTAATTTGGCACAGCGGCAAGCTGTCCCGAAGGATCAGTGTAACTTCGATCACAATTTCCTTCCCTCCAAGTACAATTTAACATCGACAGTGATAATTAAACAATTTCTTATTATCAAATATTAAACCAGCAAATGTAGGTCAAATATTTTCACCTACTCTTCATCTAACCGCAGAAATTTCCTCCAAAATTCTTATATTAAACCTCTTCCAGTCCCTATATCACTCCGCAAAGATTGAACTAACTAAACCTCCTCTAATCCTACCGTATAAAAAACACTTTACAGTTCACATTACCGGAGACTTGTCCACAAACTTTCCGCTCTAGTCTCACGAACGTTCTAAAATGTCAAGAAATTTCAAAGCTCTCTCCGGTCGAAAAAGGACAGAAAAACTTCGCGAGGAAAAATCTCAGACAATGTACCCCGGTGAACACACTTAGAAAACCCCCTTTTTTCACTCGATACACAATGTCCGCGGTTAACAGCCGAAAGCTTTCGTCGTCGTTTCACCGGATTCAGTCAGAGCAGGTAAACTGTGTGCTTCTAAATACACACCACGCGTATACAATTCTGTTAAAAGCGTACATTTGAAACGTCTTACCTTGCAGAGGCCGTAGAGAAGCAGGATGCTGCAAATCACACCGCAGCTCGAGCATATAAGCAGCGTCACGTTAAACCGTACCGTCGCTGAAGCAATAGAAGCACGTTTGATACGTGAGATTCGTTGGTAACAACGCAAGTGTGTGTGTCTGATGTGTACGTGATTTCAAGCAATTACTCGGGTGAACTCGGTTTACCGGTTACTGACTTATACGCTATGTCTATCAAGGGAGAACGGAATCCCGGAATTCTCTCACTTCCGGGGTGCATTCTACGAACATTGTTGTTGTAACGAGGAGGCACACTCACTTGGGGATATGGTGTCCGGCTCGAGGAAGCTGGTCGATTCTGGTAACGAACGATTCCCTCGTAGATATTGACTCTCACCCTCGAGCACTTTGCCCGTGGTTAACGCCAATACGGTAAAGTAAATCTGAAACAGAGCAAATACCCCGTGAATCCTTCTGATTACGAGTTTACCGAGAAAAGTATATATGTATCACTCGAAACCACTTGAGGATTTCGAAGACTCTCGGGGGTGCTAATTTTGAACACTCGGGATAAGAACAGACTTTGTATACATTTAACCCTTTCGCTACGGCAGATTTTAACGGCGTAACGTGGATGACTGAATTTTGACCACGGCTGAGGTATTTGTCGTTTTAACATTCCGTTTATTGTGTTAACCCTTTGAACTCCAAATTCTTTTTTTTTAATTTTCTTTCCAATAACTCCCTATTGTCTTAAGAATTTTACTTGAAATGCACTTCAAAAGGCATTTGGTCGATAGAGGAACCAATTTGAACAACTTCTTTTACTAATTATATTGAAAATAACACTAAGGGTCGTATATAAAAAAAATACTGCAAAATATAATACACATTTAAGCAGGCAATTTAAAAATTACTTCATTCATACCTGTGGATAAAACTGACGTCGAGTCACTCTCGACAAAGGAGTCCGAAGGGTTAAGATGCAAGTGCGTGAAGGATAAAATTAAGTGTTAAATTGAGGTGGAAGCATTAACCCTTTGACTGCGGCGCACTCTCGCACGAAACCATCGATATAGACGGCGCGATATTCGCAAGTCAGTCTAGCTAATTAAAAGAAAAAAATAAAATAAGGTGTTACGGTAAGAAAAATGTGGATGACGTATATTTACGCCTTTCGTAGTGAAAGGGTTGAAAGGTCCCAACGATATAGTGCGAGAAAATTTTCAAAACGCCTATAGGCACCGATAGTAACGAAAGGGTTAACCTAACAAGTGTCCTAATTTTTCTCGAAATTGTTCGACAACTGCAAATTATACGAGTGAGATGTTTGTTTGCTATTACTTCGTCGCTTTGCTTCAGAGAGTACACTACAGCACGCGCGTATGCGTGTTTAGTTATTTCGAATTAACTGATTTTGGTCCTTGGCTTTGAGTAATTAACATAAATTTCGAGGGAGTTGCCGGTGCGACGTTGTTAAAGTAGATAGAGTGCGTTCAATTAGAATTTGTAAATTAAACGAAACATCCGTTTGAATCGTATGTTAGCAATAGTCTCTGTTCGACAACGTAATTTGAAATTAATTACACCTCGATCGAGGATTGAATTTCCTCTGCTGTGAGGGCAAGGGTAGGATAGTAACATAGGGTTTCCCTTCCTTTTCTTTTCTTTTTCTTCCCTCGATCCACTTCATCCATTGAGTCTCGGACTCGTGATCGCTTCCTTGTCGATTGATCCGTCTTCACTCCTTTATTTTTTTCACGCTCCAACTATTTCCGGGGAAACAAGGTATTCCGCAGGAATCAGAGTTCTCAGCTGCGGAAGCTGCCTCTCTCGATAGAGGAATCCCAATACCCTCTACAATTTCGATACACTTCAGCGTGGAATGGCACGTTTATAATACAGTATTATCGGATTCTTACGTTCACATATTTCTCTCTCTCGTGATCGTATAATGTGAATTAACAACGCAAGAAAAAGTAGAAAATTTAACAAGATAATATATTGATGAAATTTTGGATTTAATCGTCCATATTGAAGGGGTGAAAATGGTTCACAAAAATTTGGGCGATGAACATATTTGGTCTAATATCTCGGGAATGATTAAAGGAACAGTGTCAATTGAGAAATTTTATATTTTTCAACGACAAAATTTGAGTCAACTTACTCTAATAATGTTACAAAATCAAACGTCTGCGGAGAGTTCAAAAAATTTTTCCCCCGATTCAAATTAGTACAAGTTTGAAGATTGAAGCCCCCTCTTTACAACGACTACTTGAAAGTTGACGTACGATTTTTTCTCACTGTTTTATCGCACTTTGAATGGAGAGTGTGCCAGAACCATTGGACACCATATATGTATACACTTCGAGAGCTGTTTTCATCCCTTCACTATAGACGATTTCCCATATAAAAAAATGCGGGTGGAATATTTTTTCGAGAACTACAATGTACCAAAGTTTCATCAGAATCGGCGATGATCACTTCAAGATGACTCCTTCCAAATCTCCTCCGTATTTTATACATTAGTCTCTACAGAAATTGCCCTCCATTTCCAATCTCTACCGATCTTTCTCCGAAATGTACACGCGTACCTTTTGCAGGGTTTAAGTAAATCTCTCGGAAACTACCCCATTCGCTACACGAAATTCAACAAGAACCCCGAAAATATGTCAGAAAATCGCGATATTTTTAGGTCACGAATAAAAAGGACGAAATACAGCAATCGATCATTCTTTACAACGATTCCTACTCGATATTGATGCTTTCGAGGGAAGAAAAATCGCGGTGATTTAAATAGAGAGACGACTTTACTATTGTAAATTTATTTCACTGATCGGACATTTGTCAACGTTTATCATCGGTTGGTCGTGCGATTTCACGCGCATTATGAATCTCCTGTACCGGAACGCTTGTATATACACAGGCGTGCACGCAGAAGTGGAGTGGTTGAAAAGGAAGGGTAGTGGAAGGCGTGCTTTCTCGAGGGTGCGCCTCTCCTTTTCTCTCTCTCTCCCGGTTCTTCAGCGACCAACGATCGATCCTACGTGACGGAGGTTATTGAAATTGCTTCCCCCCTCTTATTGTCTCTTGTTGGGTAGTTACGCCGGCCTTGGACCAATTTCACCATCTTATGCGTGCCCGACGTGTCGTCAAACTCCGTGAACCCCTATGAGAAACCCTCTTTGCAGTTCCTTCATCTTTTACGATCGCTTGAAACTGGCTTTGCAGTTCAACAGAGTCACACACGTCGATTGTAAATCATTCGGAGTCAAAGGCTATTAACCCTTTGCAGGCGGAGGACTGTGTAACACGTCGCGATACTGATTCTTCGCACCTGACCGACTTGTAACTATTTAGGCGATATTTCAACACTTTCTAGAACTGAATTATGTCAAAATTAATTATTAATTATTTTTATCGATTAAAAATGAGCGAGTCTATTTTGTTTTGAAGGAATGTACGAGTTAATCTCTGGAAATTGTACTTATACTGATTTTTTGTACCATACTATAATTACGATATTTTGACCTTCTTTTAAACTCAATCATTGTTAAGCCGCGTCCTTTGGACAGCCCTCGATGTACCGTAACGGTACATCAGAGGATCGCCGCGGAACAATGGGCGACCATCGACGGGCAGACGAACCGGCAACGGTTTTTTGGGAAAAACCCCGATTTTCGCCCCTTCTGCCTTTGTCTCCGACAGCACACGTACCACGCACCCGATCAACCAATTACCTCACCGGAACCATTTCCACCTCATTTTCTTAGCCAATCACCTGCATTCCCATGTCACCCGCGTCTTGGAGTCATCCGCGTCCAGGGAGAGGGACCTTCGATTCCATCGGCAGTTACAATTCATCCACCATGATTCACAAGTCAAACATATTCACATCAGGCATCTTCACATCATACAGTAGAAAATAAAGATTTAAGTAAAGGGCAGACAAGTGTAACTCAGTACACCTATAACCAGGCCGAAGTGATTAATTTCACAACGGTCAGCGTCCCTACAGCAACGGCAGAAGCACTCTGAGACGGGTCTTACAACCCCGTCGTACTCCATGCGAGAATACCCGGTGTGCGGGACGCAACAATCATATTAGAATTACATTTTCTTCGAAATGAATTCTTTCCGACTGAAATTGAAAGTAATTCAAGAAAAATCTTTGCAAAAGAAATGAATTCTCTCCGACTGGATTCAGAAGGAAACGAATTCTTTCCGACTGGATTCACGTAATTGATTTAAAGCTACCGCGTTTCCATCGCGATGGTATTCCCAAGCTGCCAGAAAAATGGCGAAAGGTCGTAAAAAGTAATGGAAGTTATTTCGACGAGAGATTTGTTCTCGTGTTTCTTAACACCAAAAATTGCAAAGAATTCATTTCTACACCTAATACACTAATTCACGTTCATGTGAACTATTTTTGTCGCTCAGAAATAAGCGAGTTTATCCATCACCCTCGAAGATTTAATCTTCAAAAATGGTACTTTTTTAAGCAGCCTTGATTTTTCACAAATTTTCCCCAAGAATCTAATCACACTCCGCGAAGATTGCACAATATCGCAGAATTCTGCCTCTATTGAGAGCACGTGTTTCGATGCTTACGTAAAACAGCGTGCAGTTCATAACATAAAGAAGCTGCTTTGAATGCCGCGCGGATACGGATGATTGTTATGGTGTACGTTCGAAACCAGGTAAGCTTAATCCAAGCCATAAGCGGATGATAATATAAAATGGTAGCTAAACATAGTCAATTAGCGGTTGGAATTCACGGTCGCGAATTAACCAAGATTAAATTAACCAAGTCAAAGAGAAGTATCTCTTCTCTATTCCCTGTGCAGAACAGAAAAAAAGGGGCTAAAGATTATCGTGCAACGATGACAACTATTATACAAATATTCTCGTTTCAATCTTCTCGTCATTACGCTTAAACGCGTGAAAAGTCGCTTATCTGTACCTCGATACAGACATGAATTATTACGTTCGTATTTCCACATCGGGGAGCCGTGACCATACATTCGCCGGTTCTTGATCGATAAATCGGGGGATTCGGTTGATGCTCGATCAAACTCGAATATAAAATGCGACAGGTATTTCTGACTGTGCGACAAATAATCGGTTGACACGAGAGCTCGTCGATTATTTATTTCATTATGGAATATTCTGTTTCAGGTTTCGTGATATCGTACCTTCGTGACTTTGTCAAAAATACTCTCTTTTACAATTTTGAAGTATTTTCTTTATTTATTTTCTCTCACTTTCCGCACTGAGCTATCCCTTCTATTTTACGGTAAAAGTGCAAGTTACAGTATGATAAAGAAATGGGAAATTTATTTCTACACGCCTGGGAGATAATTAAGAAAATATAAAATTGAGCGTTTTCGATAAATCAAGTTGAGAAAAATGTGAGCGTTAACCCTTTGCGACGGTCTAATAA